CAATGTGAAGGAAGAAAAATATGGAAAGCCTTGGTATTATGACATCTTGCAATACTAAAAGAATCAATAATACCCAGATCAGGCAATAAAAAATGATAAGAGAGTTCTGAAAAGATTAGTCATGAGTTTTTTCTTAAACGAATATGTTATTTATAAGAGAAGCAGAGATCAAATGTTATTACATTATGTAAATGCATCTAAGGCAAAGAAGATTATTGAGGATGTTGATGGGATATGTAGAGCACATGCAAATAGACACATGATGATAAGACAAATTATGAGAACTAGATATTATTGGTTAACAATAAAAAGTGATTGCATTGATTATGGTAAAAAATTATCACAAATGCCATATTTATGCTGATAAGATCCATGCTTCGCCTACTACTTTACATGTTTTGGCATTATCTTAACCATTTTCTATGTAAGACATAGATGTCATTGGTCCCATTATCCCAAAAGCATCGAACGAAAATAAATTATCTTTGTAATGATTGATTACTTCACTAAATGGGTCAAAACAGCTTCTTTTGCAAATATGACACGGTCGATGGTCTGCAAGTTTATCAGGAAAAAAAATCTGAAAATATAAACTCTAAAAAAAGATCATCTCAGATAATGTTAAAAATTTAAATAATCAGATGATGCAAGAAATATATGCTCAATTCAAAATTAAACAATATAATTCAAGACCATATCGCCTGAAGATGAACGGAACAATAAAAATTCCTAATAAAAACACAATTTGTAGAAAATTACTAAGACATATATAGATTGGCATGAAAAATTGCCTTTTGCTTTGCATGCTCATCGAATATCAGTACGCACCTTACCAAGCCAACTCTATTTCCCATAGTTTATAAGATAAAGGTTGTATTGCCAGTGAAAGTAAAAATCTTGTCTTTGAGAATCTTAAGAGAAATGGGATTAGAAAAAGCTGAATGGATTTAATAGCACTATAAGTAACTAAAATTCATTGAAAAGAAGAGACTAGCAGTGCTAAGTCATGGCCAACTATACCAGAAAAAGATTATAAGAGCTTATGACAAAAAAGTTCGACCTCGTCAATTTTAAGAAAAATAGTTGGTGTTGAAAAGAATTCTCTTGAGTCAGTATGATAACAGAAAAAAGTATACTCAAAATCGAAAAAGGTTGTATCTTATAAAAAGGATATTTTTTAAAGAAATATTAATCTTAACAGAGATGGATGGAGATGATCTCTCCAATCTCATAAATTTTGATGTTATGAAGAAGTACTTTACATAAAAAAAAGGAAAAAAAATAGAGTTCAAACCGAAAACCCAAGAGGGTGATTTGAACTAAATGAAGGTTTATCTAAGTTGAAAACTTATAAAGGCGACTTGAATAATGGGGATATAGCATCATTTGAGAAAACCAAAATTGGTATATTTTGAAAGGCTCTAAAATGCTGCACACATCATGTGGTTGAGTTTTTTAATAAATCTAAGATATGTTGTCATGATTATTTGATTGTTTATCTTAGAGTATTGTTATTCCAAATAGCAATCTCTGTATGCCTTTATCTTGTCCCATTGCCATCATTTGTAATCTGTTTCTTCTCCAAATAAATGATATTCATTTCATTCTATTCATGTCTCACTTTCAATCCTTGCATTTTCATTTTAAATGCTTTGCCAAGAATAAAAAGAATGCATACTTTGCATCTTATATTTTGAAATTGGGATAATAATTAATAATTAAACAATGTCATGAGAGATTGTATATTACTTTGGGAGAGTTGAAAGAAACAAAAGCAAAAGATAAAATCTTCAAAGTTTGGTAAATACATTGGTTTTGAAAGTTCCTCTAAAAGACGAAGGTGAGTGCGTATTTTGAATTGATTTGATTTTGTTCCCCTCACTGGAAATATAAAACATTTGGAATGCAAAAGAAAAAGTCTTGAGAACCTTAGTACCATAATCAGAATTTCATTTAGTGGCATCGATGCATTGGTATTAGTTGGCATTTGCATAGGGCTTGTTTTTTGAACACTCAGTGACATTGTTACATTTGCATCATTTGTATTATCATCTATTATGTACAAAATTTTGACTTTGAGAAAAATTTTTGAACCTGTGATTTTGAAAGCATTTTTTGCATTTTTTAAGACCTCTAAATATGATCTGTAGAACTTCGAGGAATGTTTTCGTCTTCGACCTTAGCTTGGTCCAAGTTACTTTACTTTTTTTACTAACGATTCAATCTCGATTACTCATTTTTTACATTGGCTCAATCTAGGTCATTTAGTTTTTCGACTTGCTGTTCAATCTCGATCACTTGTTTTCGACCTTGGCTCGATCTAGGCTATTTTAATTTTTTGACTTACGATTCAATCCTGATCTCTTATTTTTTACCTTAGCTCGATCTAGGTCATTTAATTTTTTGACTTGCGATTCAGTCTTGGTCACTCATTTTTTATTTCAGCTCAATCCAAATCATTTTATTTTTTTGACTTGTAGTTCGATCTCGATCAATCATGTTCGACTTTGGTTAAGTCCAGGTCATTTTATTTTTCAGACCTGCGGTTTAATCTCGATTGCTCATTTTCGACCTTGGCTAAGTCTAGGTCATTTACTTTTTAGACCAACAGTTCGGTCCTGGTCACTCATTTTTTACCTTGACTTGGATTGGATCATTTTTTTTTTTACTTGCGGTCCAATCCTTATCATTCATCCTTAGTCTTATTTCAATCCAGATCATTTAATTTTCTAACTTGCAACTCATATTCGGTCATCTTCATTTTTTTTTTTGGCACACCTCGATTACTTTTGCCTTTGACTCAGTTTAGTCACTTTCACATTCTAATTTGACTTCAGTTTTCAAGCCTAGACATAATGGTTGTCTATGTCTTTGTATTGTTTCACAAGGATGCGCAAAAAAACAATAACTATAGATATTGGTTTTCATCCGGGGCATGTGACCAATTGCTCAATTGTGAATTTTATTGGAATATTTAGGCCCTGGGTAAATTTATTTCAGTTCATAGCCCAAAGTGTGGTTTTTTTTGTTTGGGCTTTAGGCCAAATAATTATTATTAGGCTTTTTGGCCCAATAAACATTATGTTATCTTTTTTATTTTATTTTTTATTTTGTTTGATTTTTTAATAAACAAAAACAAAAAGATGTTTCAATAATAAAAAATGGAAACAATACCAAATTAGCTAGGATTCCCATACAAGCGATTTCAAATCAAATTTTTTGGAATTTTGTATGCATGAATTGGGCAAACAAGGTTTGGTTCTTTTTTATTTGAACAAAAAAGGGAAACTAGAATCAAAATTGAAAGGCCATAATAAAATTGTAGGATTCAAGCCTTAATTGAGTCGGTAAATCCCTAAAATTTTGTTAAAAAATGCCCTATAAATCAAGCACAAATTCACAACAAAAAAGGAAAAGGGGCTAAAAAATTCATTCACAAATACGATTTCTGTTACTTTTGTTTTTTGGAATTCCTTGCGGATTTTGGGATTTTGAGGTTTAAGTTAGGTTTAAGAAAGGTTTTTGAAGGCTTTCAGAGGAAAAGGAGAGTTTGTTTAGTGTCTTTGGACTGTTTTCTGGAGTTTCCAAATCTTGTTGAACTTTCTAGTGGAGTTACCCAATTTTCGACATACTTTTCCAAAAGTCGGTGGAAATCCATTCGGTGTTCATAGGGTAAAGAGACAGGAAAAAAATAAAAATTTTAGAAAAAGATTGGTTTTGGTGTTCTAAAAGAAAAGAAAGGAATGTTGGGGTTTTTATTTCTACATAAAATGGCATCATTTTGAATTAAGGAAAAAAACAAGATCTACGTGTTTTGCTGCGACCCGACCCAACTTGAACCGCTTCGCATGACCTGTCGACTTACACTTCACCTGAGCCAAGAGAGTTGTTAAGCTGAGTCCTTGAGCCACGTCGCAACTATTCTTCTTCCGTGCTTGGAGCCGAGTCATGTGTGCCAACCACCACTTTAACCAAGTTTGAATACTCTTATTTTATTTAATTATTTTCCTTATTTATCTAATCATCCATTATTTTAAAAATATATATTTTTATAAAAAATATAATATTTAAATAAAAGCCTTACCAATAGAGTGAAAGGCAATTTTTAAATATGGTTTTACCAACATATTAGAGAACCTTATAATTTTATGTGTTTTAAAAAAAATAGTAATTAAATAAAAGCCTTACTAACAGGTTGGAGGGCCAATACTTTTAAAAAATAAGGTTTTATCAACATATTGGAAAGCTTTTTAATTTTCAGAAAAAAAATCAAATTCTAAAAAAATAAAATAATAAAATAAGATTTTTGTTTTATTTTTGCACAAAATTATACCAAAAGATTAGAGGATAATTTTTAACAAAAAATCTTACCAATAAATTGAAGGATATTTTTTACTATAAACGCTATTTATAAATATTTATTTCTAGAAGCAAGATTAAATGAATCCGACGATAGAGTATCTTCAAAACGTGACAAATAGTCTTTTTGAATACTCATGAGGTAAAAAAATATTTTTAAATTATTATCAAAATATTATAGTAATTTAAGGGAAATTTTCAATATTAAATTATTTGGTAATTTTAGACATATTTTAAGGCTTAGATAACTTGAAATCAAATTGATACCATTTTCTAGATGGATGTTGTGAAAGTGTTACAACCTTTCTCATATATAACCGTACTCCTAGACCTAAATTTTGGTTTCATAGACTAAAATCTACTATTTAGAGATACCTAAATCAATCTTAGGACTTCTATTTAAATGTGACAGGTTCTGTTAGGTGGCCAATCACATCTTAACAAAAAATATTAGTGGCCACTCCTTAAAGTTTCTATCTATCGGTAGGTTCACGGATTTATTAGTTATGACAATATTGTATAACTATAAATTTTGGTGTTAGATAACAAAAGCTAAAACAAGGTGAATTAGAACTGTCTTTTACATTACTAAGTTGTAAGGAGAACTATTCAATTTATTTAAGCAAAAAGCAACTACTCACTTCTTGGGATCCAAGTCTAAATTTGAAAAAGTCTTTGTCATCTCCCTGCATATTTTAAACCAGATACAATCAATAATCAACTAACATACAATGAAATCTAGTATTAAGATGAGAGCATCATGTACCACAAAGGAACCGCCTTTGGTCTTGTTTCGAGCTTCAAATATGCGGCCATAATATCCAATAGTGTAGCCATCCCAATCAACCTACAGTATATAGTTTGTAGCTCATAAACTGCTTGAACTAGCTTGGACAAAATAATAAAAACAATAATAGTTGTGCACTAAATTTGCAGCTATTAAATTTATTTTCATGTTAAATTATTAAAAAATGTTCCTTTCAATGCGCCTATCTCCAGACCTAATAACTTTTGAAGACAACCCATTTCATTGTTTTATTACTTCTCTTAAGACTTTATGACATAATAGCATAAAGGAATGTAGGCTGTATGTGAGGATCTATTTATGTTCTACTAGCATAATATCATGCTATTTTTGCCCAATGCTTCTCAGAGCTTCCATCTTTACATTATCCAAAGGTTCATCCCAGTATATGAAACTAGCTGAACAACAACTAAAATTACAAAGAGTTGCCCATATTTTAAACGAAAGCAACAAATTTTATTCAGTCTGAAATGATAATTGTTTCAACTTGATGCTGATTGTGCGCAAAATTTTGCTGACATAAACAATTATTGTTAACATGATATAAAATACATTTAAAAATTGTTGCTTACCACAACCGTCTCTCCCATCTTCGGTGTAGGGCCATCCCCCACCCGCAAGTCCTACATTCTCATCGAAATTTTTGATAAGAACACACACCAATTAAACTTAATTTTGAACAGGTAACAGTGGATTTTGTTTTCCTAACAAGTGACCTTGTACTGAAGACCTGATTCTGTTTGTGTGTAGTCTGGAAACCGCATTTTGGTCTTCCCATAATCCTTGCCCCTAAGTGCTGGCACTGTTTTTCCCAATTCCAACAATTTATGTTTAGCTTAGCAATGAAGTAAGTATATTTTATGACTTCAATATAGTAAAAAAGAAGAAAAGTGAAACTCAAATGGATTTGAAACTGCGAATTCCTAATTGAAAAAGAAAATTACTGTCGGCGAATCCAGATGAGGCAGCCGTTGCCATCCCAATTTCTTCCAGGGAAGAATCCCAGAGAGCTCCAGCTACTAACCCAACCGATGGTATTATAATTACTTTTCTTCGCTCAATCAGCTGAGATTGTTGCTGCTGCTGGTGTTGCACTGAAAGAGATATCATAGGTCCATACCGTCTCTGAAATGAAATAACCAACTAGTAGTACGTACATTTTACTTGACGATATGGAGATTAGATAGAAACTATGACGAAATTGGCAGAGGAGAGGGCGTACCCTGGTTGAAGCTCTTCCAGCGGATAAGATAAGGGATTGCGGCAGAGATCCAGCTGCAGAAATTGACGCCATTAAACTAAAGTTTTTTAGTTCCGTGACGGAGGGATGAAAGACGGTGTTACTTGAGAGAGAATATGTCCCTTCGACTACGCGGTAAGATAACGGCCTCACCTTTTTTGTTCTACGCCTCTTCCTATTCCTGACCCACATTGTATTTGTCCTTTGGACCAATCCATCTACGTTAGGGTAAATTATACCGTTAGTGTGATATTGTCGTGTTTTTTAACTGATTATTAAAGTTTTTAATTTAATTGTTAAATTTTAAATATATTTTTTTTTAATCCTTAACCTTTAGGATGCGATAACTTTATGTTAGTAAAATTTAATTTTCAAAATTTATAATATCATATAATGTGTAAATGATATAACATCGTCACATGATAATTAAAAGATTAATAATTGAATGATAAATAATTATTTTTTAAAATTTAATGATTAAATAATAAATTTTAATAATTAAATATTATTTTAAAAGTACAACATAATTGAGTAATCAATTATACAATTTTTTATATAAAAAAAAAAAGAATGATATATTTTACCCTCAACATTGATTTCTTTTCAAAAAATTCAGTTTTTTTTCCTTCAAAAATATTTTAAACCTGATTTTAGAATGAGCAGAATCTGCTCCGGCCACGAAGAAACAACACAGATCTAAGGGCAGGCCTTCAAGGTTTTCTTTCTGAATAAGCATTTAACTTTTGACCATCAATTATAAAAGTCGACCGAAATGTTACAAGTATTTTGACAAGGATCATAATCACAAATATCCTGGAAGATTTCCTCTTGCTCTAGGACCAGTCTCCACAACCATAAGAGTTCATCTGCTACTTCATGATCAACAGAGGGAATGAAATTTTCATTAAACAAATACTAACCCCTTTACGATACATATTAAACGTCTCACAAAACGCTCACCATTTAACTTTACAGCAGGAGACAAGAGTCGCTTGTTTTATTGAGTTGCAGTGACAACAAAACAGGGATACCACAAAGGCTTTACAAGCTAAACAATTTAAGAGAGTTTGCCTTCTCTTGTAGGGTATCAAGAAGGCTGTCGAAGCTCTTCTTGAAAGCCTCCACTCCCTCATCTTCGAGCTGTGAGGCGACGTAGCCCCAGTCAATCCCCAACTTCTCAAGTGCACTATAAATGCCTTCAGCTTCAGACACGTTTGTGTCAATTGTCCTTGAAACTGTGCCATGATTTATGAAGACTCGGAGAGCTTGGTCAGGCATGGTTGAAACCTGCAATAGCACAAATAACCAAAAAGATAATGGTATTATTCATCAACTCAAGTTGAAAATCATGTCTTTATTGAAAACTATATTTAACAAGAAGATAGCTCATTGTTTCAGGTCCAATAAGAGGAGCAACATATAGAGTGTCAGGGTAGGCAGGGTTCTTGACACTAGTTGAGGCCCACAGCAACCTTTTGTTTCTTGGCACCCTTCTTCACTAAAGCCTCCCATCTTGGACCAAAGAATTTCTTCTGGTAAAGCTGATATGCCAGAGCTGCTTGAGCGACCGCAGCCTAAAACATAGCAAGCATGCCATGATGTAAGCAAATTCTTACATGTAATTCAGTTAATATTCAAAATGTACCAAAATGTATATTGCAGTTTAATTATCTTTCCTCGGAGATCAAGGGCTTCTGGTGTTCCAATCTTTTCAAGCATTTTGTCAATGAGGGTGTCTACCCAACTAACAAAGAAGGAAGCTACACTTGTAACCCTAAAGAGATCACTCTGCCCAGAAGCCTCAAGGCCATCCAAGTAAGCATCAATAATAGCTTCATATCTAGCAAGTGAAAATATGAGCTGTACATACACATAAGAAAAGAAAATGAAGTTTAGAACATAAAAGAAACAAGTATCATCCAGATGTACATGAAAGATATGTACACAATATTCTAAAACTTCAGTAAAATAAGCCCATAATTGCAATGGCCTAAACAGTCAAATGCCAGAAATCTCATGATTGGAAAGCTTTGTTGATTGGGTGAAAATGGTTCTTGACTTATAACCAATGGCCCATCCAAAGCATTAATTATTAGGATTGGTATAATAGGAGATGCTCATGAGAACATTTGTGAAACAGATGAGTGTAGCACAACACTAAATATTCCTCCTTAAGTTAAGCCAGGAAACTAGAAATAACATACAGTGACATTCACGCTTATGCCTTTCGCAATAACTTCCTTGATCGAAGGAATGCATGGTGCTGTTGCAGGGATCTTAATGTACACATTGGGACGATCAACCACTTTATGAAGATATTTGGCTGCCTCAATGGTCCCTTCAGTATCATCAGCAAGTTTGGGAAAAACCTTCACAGAAATATAACCATCATGTCTATCTGTTTGATCATAGATTGGCTCAAAAAGTTTGCAAGCATCCTGAATGCCCTTTACCACTAACTCCCAATATGCACTTTCAATATCTTTTCCTGACTATACAAGTTCCCTGAAAATTCCAGTATTTTTAAAGATAAAGATACAAGAATTAAAAAGATCAGAAATTCATTTCTCAAACACCAAGAGATTATGATAACTGGCCAACTCAGGTTAGATGAGCATGCCTTGGTTTTTCTCTAGTTTCTATTTTCATTTTTCTTTTGGGCTGAGGTAATGTGTTTAGGGTGTATGATGACATGAAAAGCTAAGCCTCATTGTAATTGCCTACTATGCATGAATTAATATTCTTATGCTACTCATCATAACACTTAAATTATGGGTCGCCAAAGAATACCTAAATTGATCATTGTAAGCATTTGACGACGATATAGCTTTCTTGAAAATCCGCAATCACATATTTTCAAAAATGTTACAGTGGATCAAAACAGACAATTACCACAAACTAAAACAACAGAGAAAAACAAAAACATAGCATGTATTTACCGCTGGGTTACTAGTTACACCTCTAACCCCATTTGTAATCAGTGGCAACAAATCGGTCACTGGCCTACAGAGGTTGTCATACCATGGACTCTGCCCTTCTTTTTCGTAGAAATCATGCAAAATAGTCCTCTTTACTGAACTACCGTTTCCATCAACAAGAGAACATCTGAAACTGCAATAATAAAACATGGTTGGAATTAAAGAAGCCTAAAAAGATCAATAGGTAGGGGATGTTGATGATAATAATGAATCAAAGCAAATAATTTCCACATCAAATCAAGAAATGGAATCAAAATATCTACATGCCTCAACAAAAACTTCCAAAAAAAAAGAAAGAAAAACGTTTAAGACCTAAAAGGCCAATCAACATCAAAGCAAGCAAGCACTGTTTACATCAGGCAACAAAGAAAAACGAAAAAAAAAATCGAAAATCAATTTGAGAAAGGGCATTGATGTAAAGCAAAATACTTACACCAAGGAGCCCTCGAAAGGGAAGTTCTTTATCAAGGACAAGCTAGAAGATGAAACCAGCTTAGAGTTAAAACCAGCCGTAGCAGGGAACCCAACGAAGGATTTAAACGATGAAGAAGACCTGGGTTTGAAAGATGATGAAAGATAAGCCTGGGTTGGGGTTAGAGAGCTTGGAAATGGTAGCCATAGAGAAAGATCAAAGGATCAGAGATTGAAAAGAGAGGGGGATTGGTGAAGGATACTTTGAAGAAAGGGACATTAGAAAAAAAAAAAAAAGTTTTTTAACTTTACGATAGAAACAATGAAAAAAAAAAATCGTGTGGCGAGTAGTTTTGCGTTTTCATATATATATGTGTGTGTGTGTGAATGGGGTTGGAGATTTGGAATTGCAGTGAAGTACGGCACCTTTCAGTTGAACCCAACGAGTAGGCGAAGACAATTGAGTGGCAGGAGAAGGGGCAATCTCGGCTATATGATTATTTTACCTAACCCCATTTTAGTTTTTCGAATGCCAACTCCATTTCACGCTTACGTCAAATTTTTATCTATTTTGTTTCAAAGAAAAAGGAATATTCATCTATTTTAGCTTCATATTTTTAATTTCTAATTTTGCAAATTTTCCTTCTTGCGTTCGAGGGCACTAAAACTGTTAAATAAAAGCCTTTTTCTAATGTTTCACACGTAAAACAATTATTATAATAAATTTAAAATTTAACCAACATATCAAAGTTATTATAATTTTTTCTCAAATTATTATTTTTTTATAAAAAAAAATCTACTACTAGTATTGGTATAAATATTTAATTCGTAATCTAATATTGGCAAAATCTTTTTACTAAAATGCATCCAAAAAATCTTTCTACTAAAGTTTTTTAAAAAAAAAAAATATCGTACCAACATCTTTTAAATGAAAGCTAATTATAAAATTTTTTGAAGTTACACTCATAATCAAATTCATAATCAAGGATTACAATCATATAATTAATTATTATCTCATTAAATAATTAATTAATAAATTATAATTTTTAATTAAATAATCTAATCCGGAGATTTAAATTTAAAGTTTTAAGATTTTAAAATCTTCTTTTTACCATTAAACCAAAGTTTCATTAGCTAATTTAGAATGTTGATACGCTTGTTTTGAATAAATTTAAAGAAAATGGATACTTTAAGTATTATTAAAATTTAAAATTAGGTATTGAAGTTAGAGTATTTGATATTTAAATATGTAGATTTATTTTGATTAAAGATTAATTTAATATTAAATTTATTTTTTAAATTTTTAATTTTTAATTTTGATTTATAAATTTATATTTAAGTTATACATATATATATATATATGTATTTTTTATTTTATGAAGCGGCTTCACAATTTAATAAACTTTATTTTATGTTTATATTTTTTATGATGGTAAAACATTTTATAGTGATACATGTAACACAAAAATAATTTTTTTTAATTTCTTGCTCATTTGAAAGAATTATTTATAGAGTATATAAGTCCTGAAGCAAAAGGAGGTTTTTATTTCGCTTGTTTTGAAAGATATCTTTAGATTATTATATTCAAAATATTTTTCACATTTTACTCGATTTTTTTAATTAATACATAAAAAAATACATAATGATAAAAGGGTTAAATATAAAAATAGTTTTTATATTATATATTTTTTATCGATATTTAAAATTCACAAATTAATGATAATATATAACTCTAAAACAGTCATGGAAAAAAATCAATTGAGGCAACAATTTTAACTCCAGTTATTTTTAAATAATAATCTAATATATATATATATATATATATTATATTATAACATATAAGGTTACATTATTAAAACTGTTTATGTG